TCCCATCCTGTTCTCTGGGTCACTGTATGTTCTGCCCTCAAGAGAACCTTGGCTGCTTGTCATCACAGGTCCCTAGGCTGTGCTGGTGTTCAGATGTCTGTGGATTGACTAGGTGATTAAAACACATATATTGATATTAGAGAGAGAGAGAGAAATAGGAATGTGTGTATATATATGTGTGTATATACACACACACACACACACACACACACACACATATATATATATATTTGCCTAATATGCAAATTGTCCCTGCGGGAGTTCAACCAGGAGAACAATCGCTTGCTAAGACGTGTGCTGACCACCAGAGGGTGGTGTGGAATGAAGGAAGGCCCTGGCTGGCAGCTGGCAGCTAGCAGCTGGGGAAAGGGGGCCCCCCGGCCTGCAGCTGGAAGGAAGGCCCGGTCAGCACCCGGAAGGCCCCGATGGGCCCTGATCACTGGCCAGGCCTAGGGACTCTATCCATGCACAGATTTCATGCACTGGGCCTCTAGTAATTAATAAATAATAATACAAAAATAAACTCTGGTGTTTTGCATGCTCACAACTGTAAACCTGCTTGTGCCCCACCCTGTATATCATATTTTATTTATCCATTCATTGAAGAACATCTGGGTTGTTTTGTCCTTTGGCTGTTAAGAATACTGCTATGAACATTGGTGTACAAATGTCTGCTCGAATCCCTACTTTCAAATCTTTATATTTTTAATTCTTACATGAGGATATTTTTACCATTGATTTTTCAGAAAGAGTGGAAGGGAGGAAGGAGAGGGGAAGAGAGAGAGAGAGATTGACTGGCCCGCATGGGCCCCCAAAAGGGCCAGGGATCAAACCGGTGACCCTTCAGTTTGTGGGCCGACGCTCTAACCACTGAACAAACCTGGCCAGGGCCCTACTTTCAATTCTTTTGGACCCATACCCAGAAGTAGAATTGCTGGATCGTGTGGTAAATTCTGTTTTTAATTTTTTCCATAGCAACTGCACCATTTTACATTTTTACCAACAGTGCACAAGTGTTCCAACTTCCCCACATCCTCACCAACACCTGTTTTCTGTTCTTTTGAATCGTCATTCTAATGGATATGAGGAGAGTTCTCACTCTGGTTTGGATTTGCATTCCCCTAATGACTAGGAATGTTGTCATTACTAGAGCCTATTGGCCATTCGTGTATCTTCTTTAGAGAAATGTCTATTCAAGTCCAAAGGAGAACGTTTTGAACTATTTTAGCCATTTCTGCTTTATTATCTTCTGTGATTTACTTCCAAACAGCACAGTTATACAGCTACTTCTTGGTTTTGTTTGATAGGTAAGAATTTGTACTTCCATCTCTCTTCCCCAAGTCCTCCTAAATAGTTTTGCTGTTATTTTGTGTTTGTATATATATATATATATATATATATATATATATATATATATATACGCATATATGCATCCAT